AAGTCTAGAATTAGATAATATTTTAACATAAGAAAGGAAAAAAATCCTCCACGTTTTAATGATCTTTTCTAAAACTTCTATAATACATACGTAGTATCATAAACTAAAATATCATTATTTATTCCAGAGAAATAAGGTCTCAGATATGGTTTACTGAGAAATCTCATTTATGTTATACAAGCTATTCACAACCTTGATAGTCTATGTTCTAAAATATATCAAAATATTCAAAACAAAAATTATTTAAATTACATTTATCCAAATACGGTTGAGAATGTGTAGCAACAATGACACTCGGATACATTCCTGGTATACTGCTATAAAATACCTGGAAAACAACTGCACAATGAACTTTTTCTAAAAAGCAAAAATATTAAAGTTAATCAACCAGAAATTTCAGCTCTGAATTTCTGATACAAGGAAACATTCTTAAATAGAGAAAGAAAACTATATGGAAAAAAATAATACAAGCACTAAAAATGCAATAGAAATAATCTAACTATATAAAATAGCATTGAATGAACAATGGTACATTCTATTTGATACATTAATACTGCCTTTCAAAATATAGTTATTAAAACTACTTCATTAAATTGCTTGTATATATCAGATGAAAACGCTGGTAAAAAAATTTCAGATTTTAGATAAACGTAACTTACGAGTATACTCACATTTTAGAATACATGTGATCCTAAGTTTTTTAAACTTCAGAAAACTTACTGAATCATAATAAATAAAATAAGCCTGCTCCTTAATACATTTTACTGTACATTCTCAAGTAAAATAATAGATTCCTTTAACTGAATATAGTCCTTTAATTTATGTTTTAGGCAACTAAATGTGATCTTTCCAGTACTTACAATTAGATTACATTTGTTTTATATAATTCATTAAATTGGGTGAATTAAGTTGATACTTAGATACAAGATATCTAGGAGAAAATCCACTAGGATTTGATGTTCCTGAAAAAGAAATTATTAGAGTCTTTATAGAAACCAGATTGTGAAATAGATTACCTTTTCTTTATTATCCAAAGAGGAGGAAAGTCTGGGACTTGAAGCTGAACGTATAACACCTGCAGTGTCTTTTTCTTTCTGAGCCTCTTTAGATGCTGTGATTTCAGCAAGTGCACCATAACTGCCAGTCTTTCTAAGCCCTAATCTCCAAGATGCAGGAGACTCATCTTTTCTCTCTTCTTCTTTGGGAGAAATTTTTGTAGTTGAGGTTGGAAACTTTTTATTTCATTTTTTTAAGGAAAGGAAAAAAGAATTATTAAAACTAATCCAGTCAGTCTTTAAGTTAGAAACAATAAGTTTACAGATAATATGTCTAAAATTATAGTTAATAGTCTCAGGAGGAAACACTTTTACTAGGTAGGTTAATGTCTTAGTCAAAAATGTAAAGATCTAAAAATGAAAAATGAACAGACTCCCTTTCCAGAGGTTAGACTTAAGAACACTACACACTTTATATCACACAGAAAAATTATGATGCAAATACAGAAAACAAATGAGCACACCATAAGGACTTAAAACCATGCATCTTTGGAACCAATTTATATTAAACTTGTTATGTTGTAACCTAATATGAATTCTTGCACGTAGAAATGCCTCACCATAGATTTTTCACCCTTACTGGGCACAAGAACAATGCCAGTTTTGCGCAAGCCCTGCCTCCATGATGCAGGGTCTACTGATTCCACCACAGGCATGATAGGAGCAATGAAATCATACTAAAGCCAATTAAAATAAGACAGGTAAAGAAATAAAGATTTGAAAGCATGAAAACAGAGAAGGGAAGTCAAGA